TGTTCCAGTGCCCCAGCACCCTCTGGGGGAAGAACCAGTCCCTAATAAACTGGACTGAACCTCCCCTGACACAACTTCAGCCATTCCCTCGGACCTGTGATGGGTCAGCACAGAGGGGGATCAGGGTCTGGCCCTCCTCATCAGTAAGTTGTATCTGCAATGAGCTCTGTGCTCAATCGCTTCTCCAGGCTGGACAGACAAAGTGACTTCCCCTGTTCCACACAAAGCTTCTTCTCAAGCCGCCTCACCATCTTCATTTCCCTCATTTGGACACTGTGGGCAGGAACCCAGCAAGGACAGGGGGAGCGCCTCTCCAAAGTGGCACTGGCTGGTGCATAGCTGGGTCTCATAAACCAGTGGTCATTCCTGGGCTCTGACAGTGTGCAGAGCTCCAGGGTACCTCCAAGGTACCATTCTCTGCACTCTAGCAAGTCCAGCCCTCTTCTTCCTTCAGCTGTTCTGGGTCTTCCACCTTCTTCAACTTGCATGGGTGGGATGGCAAATCCCTGTATTTGTGAGCCGTGCATGGTGCAAAGGGTTTCTGTCAAACCATTTCTGCCCTTGCTGTGTAGGTCTTACTGATGAGAAGGTCAAAGTGAAGTCTGAGCTTTATCTGGGGATGGAAGGTTAATTCTGCTGTATTATTCCTTAAGAAAACACTGAAAGGGTTTTCCACACCATCCCTGGGATCTTGGAGGTTTAGAGGTTGCCTTGGACCAGACTCCCACAGTGCTGCTAGATGAGTTCTCCAGGCTGAGTTGGGCTAAAGTTACCATAAGAAATACAAGGAGAAGAAGGGTGCAAACTCCTAGAGAAAGGAAACAGGAAAGGGGAAACAGGAAAAGGGGGCGGGGAGGGTAGCAGGGAGGGGACAGGACAGGATGCGGGGGAAGAAAGAAGAAAAATCCATCTCGTTCTGATGGCAAGTTTCTCCTGCCTCATGGGAACAAAACTGTTCCTGACTGGGCTATAAGAAAGCCCAGAATGCTGTGAGATGCTGGGAAAAGGAGGGGTGGGAGCAGCAGGCGCTGATGTGACTGGCTCCAGCAATCTGCTCTAGCACTACCAGGAGCAAAGAGTCCCAAAGCACAGCCTCGGCTGGGAGTGCTCTTCCCAACAATCCCATTCCTGATGTGCACTTTTGTGGGATCACCTGCCTGGAGTCCTGCATTGTCCACATGTAGTTCCCCTTCTTACCTTATCTCCAACCTCACACAGCCCATTTGGGCCCTGGGCTTTGTTGAAGGAATTATCCCACCTGCCAGGATTTATGCCACCATCAACAGGGCTTGAAGAAGACAAGTTGCCAATCCATTGAGGAAATGGGTTTTTTATTTATCTGACATGTAGAGCGGCTTGAGCTTGGTACCTCCAAAGAGGAATCCCAATCAAAGAAATCCGTGGGCAATTAAATCCTTACAATGTAAGTTCCCCAGCCCTCACATGACTGCTCTGACCACTAGTAATGTTAAGATCTGGGGTATTCCTGTTCTTTATTGGATCCCCTCACTGTCGCTGGGTGGGCCGTTTCTGCTGTTATCTCTAAGACTGCTGTGTCAGCTGACCTCATGATGGTAGCAGCCTTCCCTGCTTCCTTATCTTCCAGCTCAAACCAGCTCTGGGGCCCCCTCTTACTTAACTTGGTAAAAGTTCAGCCTGTCTGGGTGGAAATTCACAACTGGTGGTGTAAGGCTTCATCAAATTCAGCTCCTAATGGTGAGCAAGTTCTGTGTACTAAGCACATAACAGGAGATAGCAGGAGATCAGAGCAGTCAATACCAGGAGCAGAAGAAAGACACCTAAGAGGGCCATGTTTTGCAGCTGCACCTGGTGGACCATGTGGCCCAGACTTTGTCTGCAGGGTTCATTGGACAGCCTGATTAGGAGAGAAAATAGTGGACTAGAAAAGTCAAAGGATCCAGCAGATGTGCCACCAGGCTGGAGAATGTTGCTGGGAGCCTCATCTTCCCATCCCTGCCCAGCTGACCAAGAAGGCTCTCCTTGGTCAGTGCTCCTATGCAGAGCACTCCTTACCCAGCAGCTGAAACAGCCAGCAAGGAGGAGGGGGAGGTGGACACACACTGGGGTTGGTGGGACATGGCTTTGGGATGTGCTGGAGGCAGGACCCCTTGGTGCAGGGCTTCTCTTGCACTCACGGGCTAGAAACAGGCTGGTAGGAACGTGGAGTAGGAGGCAAGAGATACAGAGAGCAGAGACATGCCTTGAAGTTAATCATGGAATGTGTAGTAGGAGGGAGAAATGTGACAAGAGGCACCTGACAGACAGAAAAACGATGTCTAAGTGTGTTCATTCCCTCTTGGTTGCATATGGGAAAACTGAGGTGGAGGAGGTGGTGAGCAGCTTGGTTGAAGCTCCATGGCTGAGCTTGGATTTAAGCTGTGATTAAATCTGCTGTGCTCCCCATTGGCCATGGTCCCTGCTCAGGTGCTCTCTTCAGACTGATACTGCCTGTTTCTGTTGTGTGCTGGCAACTTTTTCAGAGGATGGTGCCCACCTGCACAGCTGCAATAGCTGCAAACATTCCCCACATCTGATCTCGTGGGGGAGCACACCAAGAGCCCTCCAGCCAGCATGAGGGAAGGGAGATTCAGAAACATCCCTGACCCATGGCTTATGGCTGCGGCTCAGCATTGAAACCACACACACTTTGGCTATCCAATTAATCTCTGCTTGGGCTGTAACAGAAAGAGACAGCCAGGATGTATTTTGTGTTTTTTCCTGGAGACACCAGAAAGCTGTGTGGGCACCAGATCACCCAGCCCAGGCAAGCCTGGCAGCTGAGCCATGAAAGACAAAAGATCCCTGGGGTGCAGGAGGATCCAGGGACTCTTTGCAGGGCTGTGACTAGGCAGGGCATCTGCTGGCTGAAAGGCAGAGGGCTTCATGCTGGTCAAGCCCTTTCCCTGCACAGAAACGTCTGTGGCTGGGGGAGGATGTGATGCATTTCAGATCTGCGTCGTGCTGGGAGGAAACAGCGTCTGGTCTCCTTTCCTCACAAGATAAATGTCAGGACATGCTTCCAGTAATGGATGCCAGAACTTGGCAGGCTCAGACACATCTGTCTGCCTGCCCACTACTGCTCTTTCTCAGCACAGCCCCTTCCCTGCTGCCTGGCTGGCTGGAGAACATCCCGGAGCTGCTCAGGGCTGCTGGGTGAAAGCTGCTGGGATGCCTGCAGAGATTTCAGCTGTGCTTCCTATTTGAAAATAATCCAGAGTGGGCTCTGGTGCACAGATTTTTTGCTCTGAGCTAACCCTGTGTCACAAATGTGCCAGAACATGGCAGCCTCTTTCTGGAGGGAAGATGAGCCTGAGCATCCACTGGTAGAGACCCTGAAGGGTATTTATACCCATGGAGTTGTTTTGGAGCTGAGGAAGGATGCCTTGTAAAGGGCCTGAGGTGGCAGGTTTTGTCCTCCCAGGCTGAGGGCTACTCTGCCTCAAGCAGGGGTGTTCCCTTTGAGAATCTCATGGCTCCTATCCCTCTCTCCAGGCCAGTGCTTGCTAGGCAGCCTCTCCTCACCTCTGTGCCTGGTTATTGCCAGAATGCAATTGAGCCAAAGGGTGATTGCATCTCCTGTCTGGGCTGTAATGTAATCACTGCCAGGGCCACAGCAAAGGCTCCCTGTGTAGCAGTGTGGAATGTGCCTGAGGCTTTTTCAAGCTGTTATTTGAAACACCGGTTTCTGATCTCCCCTGGGTGTGGGTTCCCAGACAGGTCACACCACTGGGGTGGTCTGCAGCTCATGTCCCTGCTTCCTCCAGCCACAGGCCATGGAGGGGAGATCTCTGTGCACCACACAGCCCAGTGCAGTGATGGAGGCAGGAGCTGGGTGCCTGAGAGCAGCCATCCCTCACACAACCACCCTGGTCATGGCACAGCCCTGGTGTCCTCATCACCACAGCTGTCCCCTGTGCTGTGGCACAGCTGTTCCCAGACCTGCTGCAGGCCACTGTCTCCTACAGGTGTGAGCAGAGACTGCCCAGCTCTGATGGGGCACCGTGGAAGTTCACAAGGCAATCACTGGATGTTGCTGTCCTGCCTATCCCACTGTGGCAGCACCCAGCTGACTCCTGCCATTCTCCAAAGCCCCTCACAACCCTGCTTTCCCTGCCACACCAGCTGACTCCTGCCATTCTCCAAAGCCCCTCACAACCCTGCTTTCCCTGCCACACCAGCTGCCAGAGGTTTTGTGGGACCACCCAGCTCCCCCATCACAGATGGAGGACTCACTGCCCTGGGAGTGGGATGGCACAGGCTCTGGCAAGCTGCTGGAGGAGAAGTGCTGCCCAACAAGGATGACCTCCATGCCTTCCCCACAGCCCTCCAGGTGCTCCCCAGCCTTGTGAGGTGGCTGTTGCTCTGGAAGGTCCCCACTCCACAGGAGGAATGAGGCAGGAGCCAATGTCACCCTGCTCATCGTCATTCCTGGGAAGGGAAACCTCTGCCACTGTGTAGGGTGGGTGCCAGGGAGGGGGAAAGCCACAGGTGTCAGAAAGGTGGCTCTGGCCCATGGACACCTTGCTGGGGGTCATGTCAAGGTGGCAGCTCATCCACCAGGGTCCCTGGGAGGCACAGGCACCCACAGAACTCCTGTGGAGAGCAAGGACAGCTTGTTCAAGGCAGGAACAGAAAGGAGGGTGATGGCAGCCAGCCACAGCAGCAGCAGCACTGTGGAAAGGAGACAAAGGGAAGTGCAGGGGCAAAGCCCAGTGCCGAGTCAGGCTGAGCAAGAGCTGCCTCCCTCCAGCCTCCCATCCCCACCGATTGTGAAATGGACACTGGGGCCTGGAGCAGGGCCTCCACCCCCTATCCTTATCTTTGCTCTTCCTCCTCCAGTGCCCAGGATAGCAAGAATTTGTGCAAAACGAGGCTGAGAACTCTGAGGCTAATTAATTTGTAGCTGCTGGTAATGTTGAATGAGTCCCTGGGGAATCCAAGGCTAAAGCAGAGGAGAAAGTGCAGAGAGATACTGGAAAATTACTGTTTAATTCTTCATCATTACATCTGAGTATATGGCATCTGGCAGACACAGGAAAAGGCAGATAATGACCCAGCCACTTCTGCAGCCCTTCCCCAGCAGCAGGGGCAGCCAGGCCCCTGGAGGGATGGCTCCAGCCCTGGGGAGGGCTCAGGGCCTGGTGGGATGTGTGTCCTTGGGCTGGCAGTGCCCCTTCCTGGCCCTGCAGCCGTCAGTACTCCTGCTGAGTGTCGCAGCCAAGGAACTCTACTCGCAGGGCAATGTGGTTGTGCCACAGGCGGGGGTGTATCCTCACATAGCGGGCAAAGAGAGGCGGCTCCAGGCTGTTCCTCACTGTGCTCTGGTGGTCTTGGTTTGCCTTGAAAATCTGGAGAGGAGAGAGAAGCCAGGGATGCACTTGGCTGGCATAGTGAGGACAGGATCAAGCCAGACAAACACCCCTTGGGATGCTTTAAGGAAGGAAGAAGCACAGCCTGGCTCACTGCTCTTGGAGAGAAATCCTGTGAGCATGTTTGCTGCCAAGGGCTGTGCTTGCTGCCCTGGGGGTGGTGGCCATGGGCTCTGGCCACAGAGCAGCCCTGCCTACCTTCTCCTTGCCATTTTGCAGGACTGGGCTCCAGTGCATGCCATCCTGGCTGATGGAGACAGAAAACTCCTTCACAAACATCTGGGTGAAGAGAGCTTTGGCACCTTGGGTTATGATTGCAGTCACCTTCTTGGTTACTTCGAAGTCCACCTGCAGCCATTCTCTGGGGCTGTTGCTCTGGGGAAGGACAGACTGCCATCAACCCTCCAGCAGCAATGAGGAAGACACTCATTGCAGCTGAAGCCAGGCTGGCCCTGCCCTTCCCTCTGCTTCACCTGCCCTACCAGGCATCTGCTCGGAGCTGCTGGGTGCTAAATCAGTGTGGCAGTGAGTGTGCAGCTTGCATGGTGCATGTGGCTGCACATACTTCCCACACTAGGGGAGGTGACATGGGGACCCTGCTGGGCTCCCAGCTGCCTGCCATCTCCTCACACAGGCTACCTGTGGCCTCCAGGCATTGGTCCTGCCCTGAAGGTTCAGGCGGGCCAGGGCTGGTGTCCATTTGGAGAAGATGTTGGCGCTGTGGGAGGATGCAGTGATGTGCTCATCAGGGATCCCTCTGTTCTCCATTCCTAAGGGCATGGAGCAGCCTGGAAGAGAGAGGCAATGCTTGTCAGGGGCTAGAACTGACCCACCATGGAGATGCCTTCTGCCTGCTCACTGCTCCAGCTGCCCTGCATGCCTTTGCCCTGGTTATGAGTTCTGCAGTGCCATGGTCCCTGCATTGCTTGGGGCCCCTGTGTGCAGCCTTGCTCTGACCTCACTACTCCCATCTTCTTTTCTCTCTGGAGATTTTATCTAAAAGAAATGTGAAGAATTTCTGGTGTAAGGAAACATAAGGAGAACCTGTCTCCAGGAGAAGGACAAGAATACCTGTCAGGGAGACACTCTGCATTTGTGTGACCAGGTGTGCTTGTGCACAGCTGCTCCAGAGCCAGCTGGCAGGTTTGGGGCATGGGCTGACAGCACAGCCACTGCTGCTTTTAGCTGCTACAGAGCAGGTGTGCAAAGCCAAAGACATGATCCTAGGGCACCATTTCCCCAGACTGTGCTGTTTATCAGAGCCATCTCACCTTCAACTGGCAAAACCAGACTAAAAGCCAACAGCATCTGTCTCTGCTTGCTTTCTGCCCCCACAGACTGGGGCAGCAGCTCCCCATCTATCAGCTTAGCTGCTGCTGGAAAGTTTCCTGTGCCTCAGTAAAAAAGCTGGTGAGAGCTGGCTCTTCCTCTGGTATTTTTATCTCTAAGACCACAATGAGACTTTCCAGCTTTGTTCCCTCAACACCTCAGTGCCATCTCCAGCTGCCTCCTTCCTCCTCCATAACTGCCTGAGGGTCCTGGCACAGGTGGAGCTGGGGCTCAGCACCCCAGCAGGGCAGAGCAGAGCACAGCAGGGCAGAGCAGAGCACAGCAGAGCAGAGCAGAGCAGAGGGCAGCCCTGGTGGCTGGGATGGGAGGGGGACACGCACTGTTGAGGTCGCAGCCCAGGAGCTCCATGCGCAGCGTGGCCCGCAGGTTGTAGTGGGTGGGGTGGATGCGGATGTACCGAGCTACCACCGGGGGCTTGAACCGGTTCTCTTTCACTCCACTGGCATCCACGTTCCCAAAGAACAGCTGCAGGGAAAGGATTGTTGCATGAATGGAAAGAGAGGCAGGACGAGGATTACTGGACGAGGATTACAGGACGAGGATAACGTTCATGTCTGGCACACAAAAATGACAACTCAGGGAAATGATCATAAGTGAGCCTCAGGCCAAAGTGTGAGTGGGACACTGAGAATGAAAAAGAGAAGAAGAAACTTTGGGTCTGTGCAAATTAACTTGGTTTTATATTTTCACCAAACAGTGGTGAGAAAAATAAGGAAAAAAGTCAATCCTCAAACGTTTGAACCTGGGAAAAGTTGTAGCCGCAGATGGTGCACACAATGGAGGCTTTTCTGGCTACTCTTCTCCCAGAGGATTGATCAGCTTTTACATATTTATGTTGTGGGTTTTTTCTAGCGACTGTAGATTCTCCAAATCATCTGTGCCTGCACAATATTTTTAGAAAGGCAAATTTGCCTTTGAGGTCAAAAAAGATACTCAGGTAGAATCTTATGCCTAGCTCTAAGTAAAACACAACATAACATTGAGAGGTGGATCTCACAGCCACCTGGGATGGTGGAAAGAGGTAGCTCAGATAGTTTAAAATCAGACAGATGGGACAGCAAGTCCCTTGCAGACCTGTGATTCAGCCACCTGGCACTGAATGGTCTCTCCCTAATCTCAGGGGCTCAGGAGTTTCTGCCTTGTGGACAGAGCTCCCCAGCCCTCCTCACCCCAGGACACCCCATTTGGGGGCAGCACTCTCCTCTCAAGACCCTTGACCTCACCATCTGCGTGCTCGTGGCATTCCCCTTGTAGGTCTTCCACCTTCGCCCATCGAGGCTGTAGAACACAACAAACTGGGAGATGTAGAAGCTGGAGAACTTTTGTCTGGCCCCTTGGGTTTTTATGCCGTGAATAATGGTGGGATGCAAAAGATCCACCTGAGAATGAAAGTCAGGGATTCACTTCTGATGGAAAACCCAAGCCATGTTCAGGCAATGCCCCAAAAACCCAAAAACTTGCTTCCTCCTGACATAATTGAGCACTGGTTATGAAAGTAATTAAACCAGTTGTTCATAAGGGTACAAGTCAGCCAACACCTGTGAGTGAGCAGGGGAGAGCTGTTAGGAGAGGTGAGCTGTTCTGCCTTGGGTTTGGGGAGATTTTGCACAATCCAGTGCTGCAGCTGGACCATTAAGTGATTCCTCTGCTGCACTGAGCATGGATATGGGGGTCAGGCCAGCGGCAGCCTGAACAGAGCAGCTGCCATTAGGATCTTAGTTCTCCCCTCTCAGAGGGAAGAGGAAACAGCAGGAACAGCAGTTTATAGCTGGGGAGGCACTGCCCATCCATGAGCATGGCCTTGCAATGCCCCCAGTGGTGCCTCAGACACATGGCCCCCCTCACCTGGATCCAGGCATTGCTGCGGTCGGTGCTCCAGGCGTTGATGGAGCCGCTGTTGTGCAGCCTGGCCAGGTGAGGAGCCCACTGCCCTGCAAGGAGAGAGCACAGACACAAGGGTGCTGCTGGCCCCTGCTGCTGCTGCCCCAGGTGGTGAGAGGTGCACCCACAGCACAGGGACTGAGCATCACCCCGGGGTTTAGTAGCCACACACAGGGTGTTACCGTGTTCACAGGGGTCTGAGGATGAGGGAAGAGATGAGGATCTGACTCCATGTTTCAGAAGGCTGATTTATTATTTTATGATATATATTGTATTAAAACGATACTAAAATAATAGAAGAAAGGATTTCATCAGAAGTCTAGCTAAGAATAGAAAAAGAAGGAATGACAACAAAAGTTTGTGGCTTGGCCTCTCTGTCTGAACTAGCTGACTGTGATTGGCCATTAATTAGAAACAGCCAACGTGGGCCAATCAAGGCTCCACCTGTTGCATTCCACAGCAGGTGATGACCGTTGTTTACATTTTGTTCCTGTTTTCCTCCTCAGCTTCTCAGGAGGAAAAATCGTAAGGAAAGGATTTTTCATAAAATATGTCTGTGATACAGAAGGTGGCAGAGCACTGGCACCGTGTGCCAGCTGTGTGGGAAGGCTCCAGGTCCTGACTGGGATGCTGGCATGGGCACGGATGGGGGAAGGACTCCACTACCAGGGACTCAGTGCAGCAGAAGTGGGGCAGGCAAACAAGTGAGTTCTGCTGGCTGAAGCTGCCCTGAGCCCCCCTGCCTTCCAGCTACTCACCATACTGCCCTGAAGCTGTGATCTGAGAGTCTGCAATGCCACCCGAGGCCATACCCAGGGCATTCTGGCAGTCTGCAGGGAACAGAAGCCAGGCACAGTTGGTTAGACAGCAAAAGTCTGGGCTGGGTAGCAGCCTTCAGGCTCAGGGAGGTTTGCAAGCCTCCAGGAGCTCCCAGGCTTGTTTCTCTCACACCAAGGGATAGGTTTCAGAGGCTTCCACATCCATCTCTGGATTTTAAGATAGCTGGAAGTTCTTGCTCACACCCCCCATGTCAAGAGCAGAGAGTTTCCAGCATCAGACACAGCAGCCTTTTGCCAAACTCCTTTCCCTGAATCCATGACCTCTCATTCCCATGTCCTAATGTCCCAGCAGTGCTGACAAGTGTCTCTTCCTTATACCCACATCTTGCTCCTGGGCCTTTTTGTTGCTAGGCAGCATCTTTTGAAAACAAATATCACATTGCTAAAGGAAAGTCTTCCTGACACCCCTGTCTCTCTCTGTGTCTCTTCTGGTCTCTGAGCACATGGATGTTAGTCTCTTATAATAACCATTATTATTAGTGACTTGTCACACCTTGGCATCTCCACTGCATGTCAAATGCTCCTGGGGAAAATGCAAATTTGAAATCTTAAGAGGATTTTTAACTTATGGCAACGTTTTCTGGCTGACATTTAATATTCTTTTATAAACAGGAGAGAGACTGTCACAGTGTGATAAAATACTACTCTCCCACACCACTTCCCCAGTCCTTACTTGTGGTGAGTTAGAAACATGTTGTTCTGGGGTGGAATCAGAAGTTTAATGTAGATTTTGCAGTTGCTCTTGGAGCTATTTCTATCAGACCAACTTGCAGTCAGGCAGCATCACTCACTGCCTCCTGTCATTGCTCTGTGCCTCAGTTTACCTCCTGATATATGGCTAGGCAGCTGGGCATTGTATCTTACTGGCAGCACAGGCAGGGACCAGCCCATGCATGCACTTCCTCGGTAAGTGCATTTTATGGAAGGTCCAGAGACTCTCAGATTTGGAGACTGAGAACTCTTGCAGTAAATTTTTGCAGGCCAATGAAGCTGCCTCCCAGCCTTCACCCAGCTGTGTTTCTGACCCTGCTCTCTGCTGGGCTGTGCAGGCCTCCAAGGGCTAAAGTAGTGACTTTTCTTCAGAGTGAAAACACAAAAGGTCCCACTTGGGTCACCCCAAGAGAAATGCTGAGAGATGTGGGGGAGGAAGCTCAAATACACACTGGTCGTGGCTGTGTGTGTGCTCACAAGAAAATCACTCACTCAGGTCATACACGAGGAAGAGGGCACTCATTCCAGCTTCTTGGTGCTCTCCCACTTTGCACTCCACCCTCCAGATGCCAGCATGTGAGGGCCACATCTCCACTGTCCCAAAGACACCTGGCCAGGAATGGAGAGCAGAGTTACTGCCTGTAATGGGACACACTGTGCCAAGTGCTGTGCAAGCACAGGGACAGAACAGTCCAGATCCACTCCCCCTCCATGATATTCCCCCACAGAAACTTCCTGAGGGCACAAGCCATGGCAGAGGGGGTGCACGATGCTGCCTCTCACCAGGATAAAGGTTGTAGACTCCCATGCGATACTCCTGGCCGGTCCTGACGTTGAAGAGCTGCCCGTGGAAGTGAACAGAGTGGATGTCCTCAGTGCTGCCCATGTTCAGGAGGTGCCATCGGACCCGTTGCTGCTGGGCCATCACCAGCCCAGGCAGGGTGTCACTCACATAGCCATTGATGGCTGGGAAAGGCAGCAGTCAGAGGGGCTCAGGGCTCTGGGGCATTCCCATCCTGATATGGGCTGTGGGATGGAAAGGGCAGGGAGCCTCACCGTGGAAGGAATGGTTTCTCCTGAAGTCAGGGCTGTCCTGCTGGAGCCAGCAGGGAGGGCGGCAGTTCCTGGCTACGTTCTCTGGGAAGTACCAGCTCTTGGTCTCGTCAAAGATGGTGAAGAGCAGGGAGAACTCCTGCACAGCCAGCTGCCTCCTGGAAACGTAGCTCAGCACCCCATGGTTGCAGATGATCAGCGGCCCGATGAGGCCTGAGTGCAGGTCCTTCTCCTGCCAGGGAGCCAGGGAATGAGGGGCTGCCTCTGAGCTGGGGGAGGCACTGACACCAGCAAAAGACAGCAGAGAGGAAAGCACTGAACCCATCTGCATCCCTGGCCTGGCTCCCTCTCTGGAGGGATTCATTTGTTGGGTTCACCGAGCTAAGAAAGGCTGAGCAACAAGTGTTTGCATGTGCTTTCAAGAGACATGGTGTCTGTCTGTCCAACTGTCCAACAGTCCCTACTGTGTTGGACCCTGGGGCCAGATTCAGGAAGATTTGGCATAGAGGTAAGGAACTGCAGAATGCTGGTTTTCTTGTAAGTATCATAGGCTGGAATAATTGGGGAAATGGGTGAAAACCAAATGGAGAAGAGGGAGAGGGAGAGGGGAGAAGAAGAGAAGAGAAGAGAAGAGAAGAGAAGAGAAGAGAAGAGAAGAGAAGAGAAGAGAAGAGAAGAGAAGAGAAGAGAAGAGAAGAGAAGAGCACCATCATTGACACCTGAGAATCTACACAGCCCCAAGCTGCTTTCAGCACAGCCCCATAGGAAATTCCTTGACCTCCCAGGAGGACCCAGGCGTGCTGCCCTCCTCCCCTTCCTGGGGTGCCCCATGGAGACTCCCACCTACCAGGTCCACGTTGGAGAAGTAAGCCCAGGCCTTGCAGTCGAACTCCTGCGTGGTTGGTGCCATCTGGGGCAGCACTTTCCAGGTGTATTTCTGCTGGCCACCAGGCTGCACCACCTCACCCTGCTGTGCTGTGCCCTCATAGGCTGTCAGTGTGGAGTGGAAGGAGAAGGGCCGTGAGGCCAGGTTCTTGAACGTCACCTGCACCAGAGGGAAGGCAGAGCAGTGCAATGTGTGAGGGAGCAATGCTCACAGTGCTCTGGGCCCTGGTGGTGGGTCCAGCCAGCTGGTGGGAAGGATGTCCCTGGCTGCCAGGCCTCCAGCTGGTCTCCATGCAGTGGCCAGCCCCTGCTGAAGCACAAGCTGTAGCTGTGCAGTGCAGTCTCTGGTGGAAAGCACGTCCTGGGTTCATGTCAGCAGGATGAGGCCTTTGCCTGCTCAATGGAAGCAAGGTCAGCTACACTCCTGTCTCTGGAGCCCAAAGGTGCTGCATCCATCCTGGTGAAGATTTCCATGAAAACTGGGGAACTTCTCCAGGGACACAAGTCCTGAGCCTTTCACTTTCTTCTCAGGTAGGTGTTGAAGGAGCTGTGGTAGTGTGGGAAGCCCAAGCCTGCCCTCATACAGAGCACCTAAAAGAGCTGTACTGAGCCCTGCTTAGCTCACTATCCTTTTTGCATCCCCTCACCCAAAAGGCTCCCCATGGAGCCCAGGAGCTGATCAGGCCATGCTGTTACAGGGGTTGGGTCTCAGCTCCAGGGCTTTGCATCTGAACACTCTGAGGTTCCTGCTGGCCCACTCCTCCAGCCACTGAGGTCCCTCTGAATCCCAGTCTGGTGCCATTCACGTGCCAGCAGGGCAGCTCCTGTTCCCAGGCCCTGAAGGTTAACCCATGGGCACTGCAGGGCAGCACTCCCTCTGGCTGAACTCCAACAACAACAACAGGGAGATTTATGGTTTTATAGGAAATGGGAACTTTCTACTCACCATGATGACATCCTGAACTTCTGCCCTGATGTAGGGCCCGAGGATGCCCAGGTGCTCATCCAGCTCTCTGCGCTGCACCGGCTGCGTGAAGGACTCATCCAGGTACTCTCGGAAAACCACCTTGCGGTACTGCCAGGAGTGCTTCCCCCTGCTCCTCCGGGGGTCCCTGCAGGGTGGCAGTCAGCTCAGTCAGGTGACACTGTCCCACAGTGAGCACAGCATGGCAGGGTTGTCACAGGCCAGGGGGATACAGAGCCAGAGCATCCCTGACCCTTCCTTGCAAGGAAGCTCAAAGTTTCTGGAGGTTTAAATGCCCCTGGAGAGAGGGAGATGCTGGGAGCATCCTTCCCCTGGGCTGCTTGGCTGGATTGTACTGGTACAGAGCTGAGATCCTGCCTGCCAGGACATGCCATCTCATTGTGACTGTGTTCACAGGGGTCTGAGGATGAGGGAAGAGATGAGGATCTGACTCCATGTTTCAGAAGGCTTGATTTATTATTTTACGATATATATTATATTAAAACTATGCTAAAAGAATAGAAGAAAGGATTTCATCAGAAGGTTAGGTAAGAATAGAAAAGAAGGGATGATAACAAAAGCTTTTGTCTTGGACAGAGAGTCCAAGCCAGCTGACTGTGATTGGCCATTAATTAGAAACAACTCTATGAGATTAATCACAGATCTACTTGTTTCATTCCACAGCAGCAGATAATCATTGTTTACATTTTGTATTTGAGGCCTCTCAGCTTCTCAGGAGGAAAAAATCTTACGGAAAGGATTTTTCATAAAAGATATCTGTGACACATCATGCCATGCCATGCAGTGCAGCAGGAATGCATGCAGGAACATCACACTTACCTTGCTTTTAGGAAGTGCTGGGGTCTCTGGTCCCCATACTCCCACATCACCTCCACTGCTGCAATGAAGTACTGCCTCATCTCCCCCTGGAAGGAGCGTGGGTCATGCTCCACTTCCCCATACATGTCAAAGTCCTCCATGGTCTGCTCTGTGTTGTACTCATCATAGTCTGTCTTGGCAGTCTCTGAGGGGCTGGAATGTGTCCCATTGTTCAGGGCTGGTTCCTCCCTGTGTCCTGGGATGTGGCTCCTCTCCCCAGCTGTGCTGTTGCTTTCCCCATCCTCCTTGGGCTCTCCTAGGCCCTGGCCCTCTCTGTTCCCTATTTCTCTGAGGCCATCTTCTCTGCCGAGCACCTGACATCCATGAGGAGTGTCTTGCACATACTCTGCTGGCTTTTTGGTGCTGTTGTTTTGAGGAGGATGACTTGGAGACAGTGAACAGTTCTCTCTGGTGGCTGATTTCAGAGATGTTCCTTCTGTGCTCCCAGACATTCTCCCAGGCAGGTGGTCCTCTGTGGCATTGGCCTTGGGCTGCTGAGGCTCAGGACTGGACTGACCCAACTGCTCCACAGAGTTTGTCTCCTCCTCCATGTGGCTTCTCCCCCGAGCTTGCTGTCTCCCAGGAGCCCCCCACACTGCAGCTCTGCCTGGCTGCAGCTTGGCCACAGCTGGGCTGTGCACGTCCCCCATGTCCACCACAGCCCCTGGGGAGCCTGGGTCCCAGTTTGAGGCCAGGTGTGCAGCCTCAGCAGTGGCCTGCCTTCCTGAGCTGCTCTCTGCCCCTGCAGGTCCTGTCCCCAGTGCTCCCCGTGAGGGCAGGGAGCGTCTGCTGCGCTGAGCCCCGTCCCTGCTGCTGGTGTTGGGAACACCCAAACCTCTGCTCTCCAGTGACCTGCCTTGTTTAGGTCTCCAGTCAGGGCTTCTGGCTGTAACTCTGTGCCTCAGAAACTGCTCAGGGCTCTTTAAAAAGCCATTTGGGAATGGCTTGGTGTCATTGGTCACAATGTTCGATTCAGAAAGGGCAATACTGTCCAGCTCTGCTAATTCCTTAGCATCCTGAAACACTTCTTTCAAAACTACTTCATCCCTCTCTTCTGTCATTACATAGCTGGGTGGCTCAAGGTCATTGCTGTCTGCAAAGGTGGTTTCTGGAAGGCCTTGGGCAAGTCCACTGGCCTTTTCTGTGCCACTTTTCACAGGCAAGGGGTTGCTCTCATCTGTGAAGCTTTCTCCTCGTGCAGGTTTGTCTGACAAAGAAACATTTTGCTCTTCAAAAGTTTCATAAAAGCCTTGTGAAACCACATTGTGAGGCCTTTTTTCCAGCCTAGCATCTAGGTCATTTGATGAATAATTGCTTTCTATGGTGTGACTGTGAACCACAGCATGAGAAGTCCTATTATCTTCTGTCTCATCTGCAGAAGGATTGTTCAGTCTGGAGGAAGAGTTGTGATCAATACTTAAAGACAGGCCTGTACTGATTGCCTCCCCTGAGTCATACGGGTTAAAGGATATTTTATCGGCCCTTTTTAGCAGCTTGTCCTCTTTTCCCGGTGAAGACACATCTTGAAGTGCCAGGTTGTGCTCCAGATCATTCTGGAGAATTGAGCTCCTGTTCTCCTGAAGAGGGGCTTTGCCAGCAGCATGAGCAATGGAGTCCCACAAGCTTGTTGCATGAGTAGCTGTCTTTTGAGGCTCTGCTTCCAGGTTCTCTATCCTCCCACCAGACTGGACTGTCATTCCTTTTACTGGCTCCTGCAGCTCTGGAGCCTCTCCTGGAGCTGCTGTGACTTGGTGCAGCCATTGCTGGTCTTCTTCTGAGCTCACAGTACCATGGACCCTTCCACTGTCACTCACCAAGTGTTCTCCACGTGGGACTGCTCCAAACCCTTCATCCTGGCTGGGGATTTTTGACAATTCTTCATCTTCCAGGAAGGACTCATAGGACACTGGGTCATAGCTCATCTCTGGCAGAGGAGACGTGGAAATATCATTTGGATTTGGCAATGTTTCTAAAAATGTTGATATGCCATTGGAAGAGGGATCAGAAATCTTACCATTGCTCTGGAGGGCCCCATGTTCTGTCAGGCACAATCTTGTCTCCTCTATCTCATTTCTGGAAGAGGTGATATTGTTCAGTTGCTCATTCACACATGACTTCTTTCTTTTAGAGAAGCCCCTGGGCTGGAATTCAAAGACCACCTCCTCCCCATCAGAATACACATAATCTTCCTCATCAGTGTACTGCTCATTCTGGCACTGTGAGACCGTGAACTTGGCATGCATCCCTCGGTCCCTGAAATCAGGATTTAGGCACCCCAGTGTCCACACACCTGTCTCAAGAGAGGCCAAGAGGACACCATCAGCTCACTTCAGTGGGAAATTGGAAAAGATGCCATTCCCATGCTGCTCTCTTGCTAGTGCAACCTGTATTTTCAGGCAACCTCTGGCTCGTGGTAGTGATTCCATGCTCTGATAGTCCCTAGAGTGTCTTACAGCCAAACCCACGGTGTTCTGGCAACATGAGAGCCTTACAAGCACCATCAGCAGGGCTGGCAGAGCTTAATGAGCTACACACACCTGTGAGGGCCCAAGCACAGCTTGGTGGGAGCAGTTAATGCAGTGAGAACCCACGGAGCCCCCAGCAGCAGCAGCCACCATAACCCACCCCCAAAGACATCCTGGTGCTGTCAAACACCCCTCTCTCCCAAAGACAGTCAGCACAGCTCTCCCACTGAAGGAGAAAGAAATGGAAGGCTGCATCTCTCTCTCATCCCCAGGCAGTGTGCTTGCTCCCAGCAGGGAGGGTGAGATGTGTGATTTCTGGGCTCTGCTGCTGGAGAGAGCTGCCACCTGCTGCCGGCTGAGCTGCTGCTCTGCTTCTGAGGAAGCACAGGAATCCGAGCTCAAACGGATGTGAGGCTTGGCTGGGCTGTAGAAAGCTTCCTGGGGTGTCTGCAAACCCTGACAGCTTGGCTCAGGCTGCAGTGCTCATGACCTTCATATCAGTGTTGCAACCACATGGTAAATCCTGTGTCTTCTCTGGGAGGAGGAAATGGTTCGACAGCTCTAAGGGAAAAGTGCTGAGTGAGGGGAATATAACTGAACTCTGAAGCAAATCTTTTCTCTGACTTGTCTGTGGCTGTGGTTTCTGTCCTTGCAGAAGTGTGGAGATAAATGGCATGACCAGCAGCTGCACCCACAGCAGGGACAGCACTGCCACTCCCCTTGACCTCCACGCTTGGAATCAAGATTGCAAATGTCCACCAGGCTCATGTTACTGCAGCCTGCTACTGGTTTGGCAGCATGTGTGACCTTAACACACCCTACTAATTAAGTAAAATACCGTGATTCAATTTCTTTGATTTAAGCTTTGAAAGATTCAATCACTGCCTCTCACTTTGGTGTTCTAGCAGGCTGTGGATCCCTTTGCTCTCAGAGTTGTCCAAGGGAATTGGGCACCAATCAGAGAACTGGCTGGAAATGCTCACTGATCTCTGCTGGGATGCCAAGCCCATGGTTGGCAGAATGGCCCATGTCACTAACCTGGCTTTTCCAAGCTCATGATGACTGTTTCTCCAGAAAATGGGAAAAGAGTGAGCACGTCCTCAAAGACCATGTTGTGCTTGAAGGTGTTTCCAGAGAAGAAGATGGAGAGGAAATCTGTTTGGGCCCCAACACTCAGGACATACCAGTACACAACGTCGTTCAGGCAGAGTTTTGTTTGCAGGTTGTCAAATACAAAGCCATTAATAGCTGGAAGAGGGCAGGGGTGAAACATTTCAAGACCAAATTCCCTCCATGGCTGCTGAGCTGCTGAGCATCCCCTGCTCACTCCCTGGGGCAGGGATGAGCCTGTGTCTGTGGGGGCTTTGCAGGGCTAAGTACTCACTGTGCATCACATTGGAGGCATAAAACTGGGGGTCCTGGGTGTCCACATGGGCTGCATCAGAGCAGAACCTCTTGATGTTCTCCTCCAGGTACCAGCTGTGGTTCTCATCAAAGACTGAAAAGAGCACCAACTTCATGTTGTCTGACATTATCTGGAAAAGAGAGGGAAGAAATTATTCCTGGTCTGATCAGAGCACCCCTCATGCCCAGTGTAGCTGTCAGGTCTCAGACTGGGTGCATGGAGAAGTTTATTGCTATTCACAGGAGTTAGGGTGAAGATTTGGGGAAAAGAGAGCATGCAAGGGAGGATGGGGAAGGCAGAGGCATTAGGACTGCTGGTAGGGTTGAAGGAAACAGGACAGATAAATTTCGGTTTACTTAAATATTCACCTACCGCAGTCATTGCAGCCTTTCAGCTTAGAAGTTGAGGCAACAAAGGAAAGACCCACCTGATTCCCCCTCTGATCCATGGACTTCTTGGAGCAGATGAGGAGGGGCCCAATGAGGCCTGAGGCAGTGTCCCTGACGGGGTTGATGGAGCTGTAGTAGAAACGGGTGAGGCAGCGAGGATCTGCCTCTGTTGGGCCATCCTCAGTGGTGAGACTCCAGCTGTAGGTGAAGGACTTCCCAGGGGCAATGGCAATATCCTTCACATCCTTCTCTGGCAACACACAACCCAAGGGCAGACCAGTTATGTCTGGGCTGCTCCTGCAAGGGGTGATCCCACTTTGTAAAAGAGCTCAGAAAGGTTTCCTGACCACACAAGCTGCAGAGGAAACCACCCATGCCCATCCCAGGATCCTGGTGGGATGTGGGATGGCCCTGCACAAGTCATGGTCCTGGGAGCACAGTAACAAGGGGTGAAAGCAGTTCTGGGAATGAAACCTGGAGGGAAAAACAAGCCCAGAGCAAAAACGACAAAACTGCAAGAGAGAGAGAGAGTCTAAATCACAGTGAACCCCCCCACAAATGCAGGTCAGAGGGAGCCCAGGGAATGAGGGCTGTAAATAAACTGCAAACACAGGCAGGATCACCAGGATGGTTCCTGCATTGTCAGAAAGTGGAGGTCTCCAGGATGTATCAATTAACGTGGTCCCAGCTCCCTGGTTGGAAATGCCCCTTCTCCCAGTCATCATTAAAGCCCTCCTTAAAGAGAGAGTTACACGGCACCAATGGGAACATGAACCCAGAATCATCATAATCCCTGGAATTGTAGAGCTCAGGTGCTTGGATGAATGGACAACCAGCTTCAGGAAACTCTCCTGGCCCAGAAAAATGGCAGTGGCCAGGTGATATCCCAAGTTGCCATGGCCTGCCTTACCTGGTGAGCGTCTCATGGGATAGTAGGGCCTGACACTGGTGAGGCCATGAGGGTAGATGTTGTAGGGTCGGCTGGCTAGATTCCTGAACACGATCTGAAATGAGGACAGGCAGCAGGAATGGGTTTTGATCAGTGTTTTCTGGTGTTCTGGTGTTTTCTGATCACTGTAAGCCCTTGAAGCTGCTCTCAGTGTCCTTGCAGAGAGGGAGACACTGGACAGCACTGCCCAGGGGTTAGCAACCTGCCAGTGATCAACAGGAGGGACCCAGACATGTCTGGGATCACAGAGTCAGAGTACAAGAAACCACATTTTTCTGTGATGAGCCTGTACTCTCCATTGTTCTGGGAGGTGTCTGTTGTAAGGAGGGCATGAAAATATCAGATTTATTTAAGAGAAAGTTGCTGTCCTTAGTCTTACTTTACACATGAGTCAGAAGAGGGCCATCAATCCAGGCCCCAGAGGACCAGGACATTAAGTATGCACAGCAATCAAGAGCTTTAGAGTGCTCCCCACTTCACTGCAGGCAGCCCTTCCTTTATTTCTCTAAATAGCTCTGTCACATGCCCACAACCGCACAGGGAACCCCAGGGAGGGAGCAGAAATGTGAAGCTGCTGGAAACCATCCCATTCCTCCCAGCTGCAACAAGTCAAGTGGTCAGGAGAGGCACTTTGGGAGACAAAAGTGACAGTCCCCAGTGCTGTGAGGTAACAGCAAACAGATGGAGAAGAGTGGAGGATGAGGGGACACTCCTGCCTCAGAGGAAGGCGCTGGATGTCATGGGTCGTGTATGAACTCACACAGGCCCTAAGACACCTGCAAAGAAGTCAAATGAGAGGGACTGGGCCATATCCTGTGCATCTTACTGAAAGTATTTACCTTAAGCTGCCAGTACCACCTGCCTTTCCAGTGAACTTTGAGCATTGCCAAACAGGAGAGAGCACCTGAATGACTAAAGTCAGACCTCTGCCACAAGCAAAGAGCTATTAGTAGGAACAGCATCATCTGAAATTTCCCCTTACAGTGGTAAACTGCATTTCTCTTACCTTCAGCTGATCTCCCACCTCCCCCTTGATGACAGGCCCCAGAATTCCCTTGTCCTGCTGGCTGGACACCTTGCGCTTCCTGAACGTTGCATCCTCATACTCCACAAACACCACCTTCTTATACTTTGAGCCCACCCTCTGTGGGCCAGGCTCCAGGTACAGGCTTGCCATGTTTCTGCAGGCAAAGGCAGAGAGAGAGCAAATGGCCACATGTCAGAAACAGAGCAGGACCTTCCATCATCCAAGGGCCTGGCAGGTGGCTGAGAAGGTCACCAGGAGTTGTTGTCTGCTCAGAAGGGACTGATTCCAGAGGCCTTGTTGACAGAGACACAAATGCCATGAAGACAAATGTCTCTGCAGGGCATTTGGTAAAATGGAGCAAAGCCAGGTGCTGCCTTCCCATGGCCTCTTCAAAACCATTCCTGTCCTGCCAAACTGTTAGTATTAATAAAGAACAAAACTGTCCAGGTTGGGCAGAATGAAAAACAATTTCTGGGGAAAAGGGGAAGAGCTGGCAGGGCTGCCTTGAGGAGCAGCCTCGTGAGCACACATGCCCACTCTCACCTGTCCAGAGATGCTGGCTTCACAGGGGCATAGTCCCAGTCCACCTCCTCTGCTGCAATGTAGTAAGGCCAGGTCATGGGCCTGTCCTTGGCAAAAGAGCGTGCTTGGATCACATGATAAGTTTGCTCATCTTCCTCAGGGTAATCCAGGTCCTCTGGCTCCTTTAACTGCTTCCCTGTCTTCAGCAGCCGCTCCTCGGGACACTCCTCCACCTTCACAAAGGCCTCCATGCCAACTGGGGTCAGACAGCCAGGAGAAAGGGTCACACTGCTGTGCCAATACAGGCAGGCACCCACCCAAGCCCTGCCTGGAAATTTCTCCACTATTTTTCTCATCAAATGGGCCAACCTGGATCCACCCTTGTCATCTCGTATGGCCAGGCTGCAGGTGGATGTAACCCTAAGGAGCAGGAGGGGCCTGGAGCTGCAGCACTGCACAGAACCCTGAGCCCAGGCCATGCCCTGACCTGCTCTTCCCCCCAGCTCTTGGAAAATAAGGTTACCTTGCTGATGGGACAGTATCTGGCAGAACATCCGGAACCAGCCAGCTGTTCCTGGCGTGGTCTGGGCTGTGAGATAGGTGGCAGGGGAGATTTCTAGGCTGCTGAGACGGTGGCTCCTCACCAGGAATGTGTGGCCTTCAAAGAAGATGGAGTGGACTTCTGGCCCAGAGCCCAGCCCGATCACATGCCAGTGGACCTGCTTCTTGAGGCACAGTGTGAGACCTGCCAGGGGACAGGGAAAGCAGCCAGGGGTCAGCACTGTGCCCAGCCCTTGTCCCCACTCTTGGTGCCACAGACTCAGAGTCTGACATAGAGTAGAGTAGAGTAGAGTAGAGTAGAGTAGAGTAGAGTAGAGTAGAGTAGAGTCTGGTAGAGTCCCCTGCTCCTGTGCTGGCTTCAGGCTGGAGAAATCACCCAGGAATGTGAACTGAGCAAAACAGAGGCACAGGTCACACCATCCCCCTGAGACAAGACTAGATTTAGGGTCTGGGGGACTTTGGGGGGTTGCTGGTAGGAGCTCACAGTGGGATGCAGTGGTAAAGAGAGAGATGTGCTCCTTGACTCTGTAAATAGGGAAATTGGGCACTGGACAGGAGAGTCATTTGTCTGATCACAGCACTGGCAAGCCTGATACTAAAACATTGCATTTAGAGAAGGGCTCCTGCACATCCTCAGCAGTTGCTGAAATACCACAAAGGGCAGAGAGGAGTCACCAAGATTATTTGAGTGCTGGGGAAAATTCCTTCCTCAGAGCCACTCAAAGAGCTCAGTGTGCTTAGGAAATGGGGAAGAACTTGACTGCATTGTAAAAATACTTTCCTGGGGAGAAACTGACGTGTGCTGAAGGGCTCTGTAATCTAGCAGGGAAGTGAATAACAAGTTCATGGACGCTCAAGCCAAACAAAGTCAAATACTCGCTTTTGGCAGAGTGCAGAGGTGGCTGGAACAGATCCCAAGGGCCTGGAGGAAACTGGGTGGAGGTTCCATCCTGAGGCCCTCAGCTCTCCATTTCCAGCTCTCCATCAGACACCTCTCAGGTGCCAGGTCCTGCATCCAGGGAGGGGGATGCTGAGTGGACATGGATAACTTCTCCAGGGAAAACTCACTGTGCAGAGATGGTGTTTGACCATGTGGCTTCCTCAGATCCTGACCTCTATGAACCCATCAGGACAGGGAATTTAGGCGACTTTTGCTTTTTTTTGCTGGAGAATGGCCAGGCCCCAGTGGGAGGTTTTAGGATGTGGCTCCCCAAAGCTGCTGGTGGTAATGACTCTCCTGACAATGTTTCCCAGTTTGTCTTGGAGATTCCTCACTCTCAGGCAGCTCTGGATCTTTTCCCAGGAGAACACCAGAAAGCAGCAACTTTTGTGTCCACTGAGATCAAACCCAGCCTTTTCTTTTGCTCTTCTGAAGAAGAGGAGTCTGAGAGAAGACCTTATCACTCTAGCTGCACCAGGGAAGTTAATGTCAGATAATGGGAAAAATTTCTTCACTGAAAGGGTTGTCAAACACTGGAACCGGCTGCCCAGGACTTGTATATGGGACACTCAGGGACATGGTTCAGTGGTAGACTTGGCAGTGTTAAGTTTACACTTGGACTTGATGATCTTAAGGGTCTTTTCCAACCTAAATTATTCCATGGCTCTATTCCCAAAATCCTATGAAGGTGATTTAATGAGAGCTAAATGCTACCTCCTACCTTGTCCACACGGCTACAAAAAATAAAACTCTGCTTCCAGCATTATTGCTGGAGAGCTCCAAGGAAGCCAGCTGCTCTTGGCAGCACAGACAGCAGCAAACAGCTCCTGCCCTGCTGTAATGGGAAAGGTAGATCAAGGAGTGAAAGATAAGACCCCTTCTGAGGTGAGCACAGCCTAACAGATCCATCACCTGGAAACTCCTCTTGATTTCTTCTCTTCCATCCTTTCAGGGTTACAGACCTGGCTCCAGCCCTGCTCCTAGCAGATCCCAAGCCCCCCAGCCCTGTCCCTGTCCCTGTCCCTGTCCCAGCAGGACTCACCAGGCAATGAGCCATTGACATAGCCATTGATGGTGTGCAGCTCTGTCCTGTTGTGAGCCTGGGGCTGAGCAGCTGCTAGGACAGAACCCTGCTCAGAGTACCAGCTTTTCCCTGTGGAGAGAGGAGGGTGCAGTCAGCTGTCACTTGGGAGCATTTCAAAGCAAAATAAACCTTCTCAGGGAGCTCAGATGTGTGGTGCCTGTGGGAATGCACAGCACACCTGGCCATGGCTCTGCATGAGTGTGGGGATGTCACTACACATGACAGGGAATGAATCCCCTCTTAACCTGTGTGGTGGGAGCAGGGCCAGGGCATGGCATGGCAGAGCTGGGGGGCTGCAAGCTCCCTGCACCTGGGGAAGACAAGGAGGGGCAGTACTGCACCAGGAACACACTGGCTGGGGGGACTGGACAGGTGAAAACCCTTGAGAAGCTGTGCTCACATTAATTGAACACACATGGCAAAGCAGATGCCCCAGACCCTGCTGAATGCCTGACACCACTCAGCCAGCACTTACCTTCATCAAACACTGCGAAGAGCAGCACAAACTCTTTCTGCAGGCTCTCATTCCCATCACTGGCCAGGGTCCCTGCAAGATGCAATGAGATGGATTTCTTTAAAGGTCAGCAAGCACCACCCAGGGAATTCCCTCTGTGCTCTTCAAGAGCTGGTAATCCAAGGTCAGGCTGTGGTTTGCTTTTGTCGTGTCTCAAATTGCAACAGCCCTGCTTCCAGTCTTGCAGTCTCCAAAAGTCCATGGTTGAGAGGCAGCTGCCCCCAGAAGGCATCAAGAGGTCAATTTGTGGTGCCTCCCCTTAGACCTTTGCTCAGTGGAGAAGCTGCTCCTGGTGAGTCACTGGAGCCTGCAGACTGTGCCCAGTCATTTCCAGGTCTGGACAACCACCTCCAGGATATGTCTCAGCCAGAGATGACAAATCTTACTCCAGTCACATCTTCTTGCACCTTGTGCTGTCAGGATTTCAATTCTGAACCCCAGCAGCACTTTCATTGAGCACAGCTCACTGACTCCACTGTCCTGCTCACCCTCAGGAAGGCACCTGTGATTATTCTGCTTTTATTAAAGGTTGTATGTGGTCTGTCCTGACCTTGTGCTGTCCTTACCAGGTCGGCACACGAGCAGGGCTCCAATCAAGCCAGAGTTGATGTCCTTCACACTGTTGGTGTTGGAGGAGTAGGAGTGGGTCAGGCAGGCGGAGTCATCGTCCGTCGGGCCCTGGTTCTCCTGGATTTCCCAGACATAGGTGTGTGTCTTGCCAGGATCCACCCTGTCCCCCTCCTTCTCTGGCTGGCTGGTCTCATCCTCATACCCTGCTCCTAAAACCAAAGAAATGGCCAGATGCCACTGAAGGCTCGTCCCCAGCACACCTTCCTCCCAGCCAGAGCACAGCCCCTCTCCATGCCAGGGCAGTGACAGGTCTCAGGGCTGTGACAGAGCTGTGCCAGACTCCCATGTTGGGCTGTGCACCTGCCCTGAGGCTGGACAGCACTATCTTCCTTGCCCTAAGCAACCAGCCTTCAATTTAATCTGTGTTTTACCTCTATACCAGATCCAGGTTTGCTCTGCATCATTTGCTCAGCTCATTTCTGGCCTGGGCATGATCACGTTGCTCCCCAAGCCAGGCCACCTCTGTGGCCATCTGTCCTTGCAGAGGGACATGAATGGCAGGCTGAGGGAGGGATGCACACCTGGCAGGAGGTGCCACACAAGGACTTGCAGCCCCTGCTGCTGCCAGCTCACCTTCTGATGCCTTCCAGTAGGACACACCGACAGCATGGAGGCTGTAGGGGCGGGAGGCCAGGTTCTTAAAGGTGATGACCACTGTGTCATGGACTTCTGCTCGGATGGTGGGGCCCAGGAGGCCTGAAGGGACAAAACAGTAAGGTCAGGCAGCTGGGGTCAGGCAGCTCACACCCTGCCAGCAGCCCCAAAGGGTCCTGGCTTTCCACAAGCCCTCGTGCAGCAGCTGCATCAGCTCCAGCAGGGCCCCTGCACCCCCAGGAGCTCTGCCATACCCAGATCCACCCAGCTGCTCTCCTCCTGGCTGAAGAGCAGCCAGTATCCAGCCCAGGATGAGTTTGGTGGCTGTCAAGGATTGCTGGAGCTCCCCACCCTGCAGGTGCTTCTTACCCATCCAGGCTGGCTTCAGCTTGGGCTGTGTGAAGGAGCCATCAGGGTACTCCACAAAAACAGCTTTCCTGTACTGGGGAGGGACACCAGCTGGGGGGGGACGTGGGCCTGCATGCCCCAAAATGCTGCAGGAGGAAGGAAAGCCAAGGCTGATTGCACAGACCCATCCATGCATGGGCAACATCCAACATCCATCCCCTTCCTTCCCTTCCCACAGCTTGCTTGCAATCCCCAGGGATGGCTCACCCTGCTGTGTCCTTTGGGTTTCCTGACAGCTCCCAGGTATGATTGGGAATGTTTTGCTCAGCATGCAGATGCCAGCAGGGCAGTGATTAGTGTTGTGGTCATGCAGTTAGTCATGGTGGAAGAAGGCACAAGGCCAGAGCCAGATGCAGCTGGGGCAGGGCACAGCAGCAGGCATTGCTGTCCCTCTCCTGCCTCATGCCTTGTCCAGTTTCAGGATTCCTTGGCAGCAGAGACAGAGCCCTGGCAGTGCCATGGTGACCCCTGCCCTGAAGCCACCCCAACCCCAGCCCCAGCACCTTCAGGTGTGGCAATCAGATCACATCACTGTAACTCACATCCTCCCCAGCTCCCCCCAGGAAAGAGACTGGCTGCTGGCAGGTGGTGGCAGTTTGCTTTGTGTCTGAGCAATGTCCCCACATTTGTTTCTTTTCTGCCCAAAATGGGATTTACACTTCACAGCAGAAAGATAAAAGAGCCTTGAATGCATTTCACACCCCACTTATCTCTGCTGGCCACTTTCTATCTGTAAGAAGCTTAACAAATTCATTTTCCAGAAGGAATCCAGCCTGTTTATCAGGATAAAAAAGGCATGAATTTCTTCAAGGATTTCAGAGGCTGACTTATCAGCCCCAGGACTAAGACCATTTCCAGTAACCACACAGACCTTTGCAGCCTTGTTTTGTTTGGAGCTAAAGCCAGGTGGTGTTTTCTCCCCACTTAAGAAGCAGGGAAGGTTTGCTGTCCTGCTCTGACTAAGCCTTCACTCCAGCAACGTTTCCCTTTGCAGCTCTTCCTCAAGCGGAAGAGGAAGGAGACAGAGTGACTCAAATTTAGGAAAGGCAGTGCACACTCACCCCTACAGCACTGGCTGGAAGCCACCTGCAGCTGGAGGGTGCTGTGGGGAGAGCAGGGTCCCCTCTCCTCGGGGGCAGAGCAGGATGGGAGCCCAGAAAACCCCACAGGCACCCACAGCTCCTGTAACCCCACAGGCACCCAGTTCCTATAATAACCCCACAGGCTCCTGTAACCCCACAGGCACTCATATCCTATAACCCACAGGCACCCCACAAGCACCCAGCCCCTATAAGCCCACAGGCACCCACAGGCTCCTATAACCCCACAGGCACCCATATCTTATTCCTGGCTTGCTGGCAGTGGGGTCCTGCCCCAGCTTTGCTCCCCTCTGTGTCCCCAGACCGGGAGGTAGCTGAGCTCAGGGTTGCTGACACTCAGCTGTCCGCTCTCAGGAAGCTGTGCCTTAATCTCTAGCTCACAGAAAGCACAAATTTGAGAATGCAGCTCTGAGATATGATGGTCTGGTCCTGCAAATTCTGCAGTAAACAAGGCAGAAAGCCTCTGGAGCCAGGGGGATTCTGCTGGCATGCAGGGGCATGGCTGGGAGGGCTCTTAGTGAGAGCAGGGCTCAGTGCTGGGTCCCAGTCCTGGCAGAGCAGAGCCCACAGGAGACAAGCAGGCGGGATCAGCCCAGGGATGTCTGATCAGAGTTCTTCTGGCCAGTCCTCTGTGACTGGGGTCCCCGTGAACTTCCTTCCCCAGGGGCAGCTGGAGCTGAGGCAGGCCGATAAGTTTCTGGCACCTTGGATCAGCATTGTTAGCCGCTCTATCTGTTCATCTCTTGGAGCTGGGAGACATCCTGCACTGCCAAAACACTCAGACATGGGCTGCTGCTACGTGTCCACCAGCCCTGTGTCTGAGCTGAGAGCCCTGGAGCCACTGCAGGATGTGCTGGTGCTGGCTCTGACCCTGTGGTGGGGCTGTGCTTGGGAAGAAGAGAAACTGAAATCATGGGGAAGGTGTGAGCAGCTCTGGCATGTTATAGCCCATTAATTTGACAGAGCTTTCTACAAACATGCCAGAGAAGGCCCTGGATACATACAGGGGGTTTGGGGGTCCTGGCTGGAGATGCCCCTTTGGAGCTGCCATGAGATGCTGGCACACTGAGGTGTGGGGCAGAAGGAAGCACAGACACAGCTCAGGGACAGCCCAGCTCCAGGGGCAGCTCTGCCTGCCCACTACACTTTCCTGGCTCACTCCTGCACACCCCTGACATCCAGCCTGGCTGTTTTCCTGTGCCCTCCCCTGTAGCAGGGCCAGGGAAAAGGCACCACCATGCAGCTGGGAACAGCCATGAGGAGCAAGCCCTGGCTCCCATCAGCTTCCCCAGAGCTGCACTGCCCAGGAGCTCTCTGCCTCTCCAGGCTGCAGCACACCAGCAAGCCCCTCTGAGACAGCCAGTGTTATTTTCCCCCTTTTTAGAGAAGGACAAGTGACCTCACACTGCCTGCCAATACCCCACTCATCCCCAGGCAGGGTCAGGTCCCTGAGTCACTCCAGGGTCAGGAATAGTGCCTGAGTGCATCATAAAGCCAGTGCTGAAATGGAAAGCCACAGGGCTAAATTAAGTGTGAGGGAAGTCATCACCCCAAGCACAGCCTAATGGATCTGAGAGCAGCATCAGTGAAAGCAGGGCAGGGGATCAGTAAAAGGGGGGTGCTGGATGCAATTTTCCTACTGAAGTAATCAGAAAGGGAAAAAACAGCATTACTGGGGTACAGTGATTACAGCAGCTAGTCAGCCTGACCTGGGTCATCCCTAGAGCCTGGCTCTCAGTGCCTGACCACAGCTCCTCACTGGCTCTCAGTGCCTGACCACAGCTCTTCACTGCTCAGGTCACTGTGGCTCTGAGATGGGCTCATGGGCTGATCCTGCCTCAGCAGAGCCTGGGGAAGGGGATGGAACCAGGGCAGAGGGAATGGGCACACCTTGACCCACAGGGGTGTAGCCATCCAGCTCCATTCTCCATGCCAACCTCAGAACATTCACAGCCATGTGTGTCCAAGTCAGATGTGCCTTCAGACAGCACCATCCTGATGCCTGAGCAGTGCAACTCCCATTTTTCCTTCCTACTTCAAAGTACACAGCAAAACCACCATGCCTTCCTCCTTCTTACCACTGTGCATTAATATCATGCTTTGCCCAAAAGCTACAAATTACTTTCATTTCCTTGAGGAAAAATTTCAGCCCCAGCAAGGTAATGTACACAAAGATATGGATAACTAAAGCTGGGTTTTACCAGGGGCAGACACAGCGGAAAGCCTTTGCTGCTCAGAGTTATGTCAGGGGGGCACAGCCAACCTTCCTCTGCAGCTCCCAGGAGTCACAGGTGCCCATCTCCCCTCACACTTCCCCAAAGCCCCCAGGATGCAGAGCAGAAAAGCAAGCACATGCTGGAAAATCAGCTCGTGGCTCCTAGCACAGACTTTAACAGGTCCCAGGCAAATGGCAATAAGATAAACCAGTGCAGAACAATGATGCAGAGCAGGTTTGCATCTTTCTCTCTCCATTCCACCAGTCCCTCATCAGGGGTTGCCCTCAGTGACTCCCCATCACACCACCCCTTCCCAAGCTCCCAGTGCCACATGCCAGGGTGGGAGAACACCCAGGGCAGGGCTCTAGGAGTGCAAAAGGAAGAGCTTTACCCTGCAGGCGCTTGCAGCACGGACAGCAAGTTGCTGTGTGTGTAGTCCCAGCTGGTTTCCACCGCAGCTATGTAATATCTTCTCACTTTGCTGGTGCCCTCCTCAACCAGGCACAGGAGCAGGAGGCTGCACAGGGCTCCCACCAGCACCATGCCTCCTGGCTGGGAACTGCTCTGACTTCAGGAGGAAAAGTGAAGAGGAAGGAATGAGAAAAAGAAGAGAAAAGTCTTTATCTGCTCATCCAGCTGTTGTAATCCACCGGAGATGATGATTAAAGGCAGCACCCACAGACTCACTCGGAGCACTGGAGAGTTTCTCAAAGATGTCAGGAGGGGAATGGCTTGAGCAGGTTTGTGCAGAGTGACCAGCGTGTGACTGGTGGACTCTCCTGCTCTTCCTCTGGCAGTGGCAGGAGGAAAGGAAAAAACAAAAGGAAAGGGAGGGCAAGCACAGCGGTGAGTTCCGCTGGCTCCGTGTCCTGGCTCCTGGCTGGGAGCAAGATGAGGAAAGGGAGGGTTGCAGAGGCAGCAGAATTTAGGTGTGTTCTTTGCCTGGTCTCACCTTCTGTGTCACCTCTAAGAGAAGGAGAGAGGGTTGCCAGGGATGCAGATGTACACACGTGACTTATCCCTGACTCTGGGATGCCCAACAGTGATGATGTGGCCACATAACCTTGCCTCAAGCCACGTGGGAAGGAGTGGTTGGGATGATCCCTGGAATTCCCTTCCCACCAGCTGCTCCTCTTCTCCCTGGGTTCTGCAGTAGAGCTCAGAGAAGATGCACTGAAATGTTTTGACAAATATATATCATTTTACTCGCAAACTTTCAATCTCTGTTTTTAAAAGGCCATGAAATCCCCCTCCCCTCATCAGTGCACACACACCCACACACACACAGACGTGTGCTCAGGCACATACACGCTGCCACATGGTTGTCCCTTGGCTCAGGGAGCAGGAAGATGAGAAGGAACGCCCTGCATGGTCCCTGCATCCCCTGGATGAGTGACGTGGGGAAATATCCCATAAATTATGTCACAGGGCAGCAGGAGTGCAATGGGCCAGTGACCCCTTTGGTGACAGTCCCAGTGTGTGCAGAAGCATCCATGTGACAGCTCTTGGTGACTGGGAAACAGAGAGATACAGAGGGACACAGAGGGCTTTTGGGGGTCTCTGGCATGAATCCTCAGCACAGGGCAGAAACTGATTCCCCCACACCACCCACCTTGCTCCTGGGGAGACAAAGAGTGAGTAAGAAATATTTTCTCCACCTTGTACACGCACAGCTGGCTCCATGACTAACCTGGGGCTCCTTTTCTTTGTGAGCAACAACTCACCTCACTTTTTCCAGCTACTATTTTGGGGCAAAGCAACTGGTGTGTCATGTTTCAGGATGCCCCAGGGTGCTCTGCATCCTGCCCTACTGCAGTGAAGCAGAGGAGTGATCTATACTGGAGGGAAGAGAGGAATGGGAGACCTGGGCTGTGCCTCAGGCACCAGTGTCCCCTGCTATGGATGTGACTTTATTTTGGTCATCCCATCTGGGAATCTCCTGGGGCTGTGAGTCTCATCTGGAAAGGCTTCCAGGAACAAGCAGATGGGGAAAACATTGCCAGGCAGACAGCATGACCATAAAGAGGGCAGCTGAGGGGTGGCAGCACGGGATGGGCATGTGGGATAGGGTTGGGACAGGCTGCCAGGAGCGGGGCTCCAACTCTGGGTGCCAGAGTTCTGCATGGGACAACACAGAAACTTCTTGGCTCTAACCCTGGCAGGGATGCTCTGGGCACAACAAATGCCCAGATGTGGGATGACAACATCTAGAGGTCACAGAGGACTGTTAGGAAAAGCACCCCTTGGGGATGAAATTAATGGTTGTGACACTGAAAAGTGCTGAATTAACCATTTTCAGCTACTGGGAGGCAGCTCCAGGTTCCTGGCCCAGGAAAATAAGAGTCAACCTGAGAGATGACATCTAATCCAAGAGGCCAGAAAGAAAATATTATCAAGATACTCAAGGCTATGGGAAAGGGAATCCAGGTGTGAAAATTGGAAGTAACTTGGGGAGGAGGCCCAGATGCTGGCCTTAGCTGCACACACAGCAGCTTTGTGCAGACACACGAGAGCCAGTGTGGAGCAAATCAGGCCAAGGACAGTTGGGCATGCAGAGGGATCCCAGCATGCCAAGCTGGACCCCACATGCCCCAGCAAGAGCAAGCATGGTCCCAGCCAGTGGGTGCCATTAACAGCTGTGCAGCTTCCAAGGGCTCTGCACACCCATGTGGGAGCCTCTGCAAACTGTCAGCATCACCCAGGGCTGGGCCAGGCAGCAGCTATGCCTTTGAGAAAGCTGCAGAGAGGAGTTGGCATTCCAGTCCTGCCTGGAGCCCATCTGCCCATCCCCAGGGCACTGTCCTCCTGTGCAAAGGTGATGGAAAAGCCACGATTCCAGGTGATGGAATCTCCTGCCAGAACATATTTTGCCAGAGACAAGGACCCACACGCACGCAGAAAGGGCTGTTTGTTTCCCTGAAATGTGCAGTTCTCAGAACAATGACATAAAAGTTCTCAGAACTGGAGCAGATAAAAGTTAGTCAGAATCATTTGAACCATGTCTAATCTTTTGTGTGTGTGTGTGAGAGAGAACAAGTGATTCGTGACAGCTTCTCAGGAACACTGAGCAGCTCAGAAGCAGCAGCCAGGCACAGGGCACTCACCCTTCCTGGCAGCAGGAGAACAGCTCTGCCACATGGCACAGATCTGCCCAGAGGACCAGGCAGGGCCCCTCATAGCAGCACTTCCAAATTACTGCACCCAGCAGAGATGGAGCAAAGAGGGGCTGCAGCCCAGTGCAGTTCTTGATGGGGAAACTCACGGGCACAGGGACACCCAGAGAACAGCACTGCAGCAGGGCTGATGCCTTCAGCACCCCTGAGTATCCAGAAAATCCATCCCTGATGGACCTACCCTAGCATCAGAGTGGAAATACTGCCATGGAGGAGGTCCCAAACTAAACCTGCTTTCCTCTGCTGGGTTTCCCTGCAGTAAGTGGGTCAGTGGAGCATTTCTGCTTTCTCTCTTGTTCCTCACATCAGAGGCGTCTCTCAATGAGTCAGGCAGCAGAAACACTCTTTGGGAGCTCCCATGGGCTGGTGGGCTCAGCCTGGCCATGGAGGCTGTAGGGTTGTGGTGGTGCCAGGAGGGAGAGGAATCATTTGAGATGGGGAATGGTGTTTCATACCTGTGCCTCCAAAGCTGAACAGCAGGAAGGCACCTGGCAGGGAGCTGCAGTGTCTGTGGGCTGCTGAGGGGCTGGGTTCTGTCCTTTACCCACCACACCAGGCTGTGCCTGACCCCACCACACAGGAGCCCCCAGCCCTGAAGCACCTCCACCTTGGCATCCTGCTGGAGGGAGCTGAGCACCTGCACCAGATGAAGATGCACATGTCCTAGGAAAGATGAGGCCATGCTGCAGGGGCTCAGGCCATCAGATGCTCCTGGCATCAGCTGCAGCAGAGCCCACAGCTGGAGGTACCAAAGGAGACCTGCCTGGCCCCAGGGCATGAGGGCATCCCTTTGCTCAGGGCAGGGGAGGCAAAAGCAGGGACACATGCTGGACAGGGATGGAAACCTGTCATGTACCAGACATGCAGGAGACCCCAGCACCACCTGACACTGGTGTTCAGATTGGATTTCTAGAGGCCAGCTTGCCCCCAGCCATCCCTTCCCCAGCCACATCTTTTTCCTCCTGTTCCCAGGGAAGTGCTGTCGTGTCACTTTGGTCTGAATGCACACACTGCTCCAGCCAGTTCCCCCTCCTCGGGGCAGTGCAGGAAACACGTGGGACATTCTTGCAGTTCCCAAATCCTCCAACCTACGTGCAAGTGGCAACGAGGTGCTGGGCTGTTTACTAACAGGATGTCCTCAGCAGGGCACATGAGCGCTGCTGTTAGTTCCTCGAAGTGTTTAGTTCCTAGAAGAGTGTTTGTTTGTTCCCCTACCCGTCCCACGCCGCCTGCACTCCTGCTCCCACTCACACACTGCTTTCCATTAACACCAAACGAGGGTCAAGTCCCCTCTGTCACAATGTCTCCATGGTTTTTTTTTTTTTTGCTTCTTGTGTTTTGGGATTTCCATCTTTGCTACACCCTGGGCAGCTTCCCCAGCTGGGAGGTAGATGGCCTTTGTTCTACAGGAGTTCAACTGATTAATGGCTCAGAAATCAG